ATAAGCAAATTTGAACATCCTTTATTTTGTCCCTTCAGGATCGGGTTTTAATGCTGCCAGATAGAGTAAGAGAGGAGGGTCGACGTAAGAAAAACAAGACCAGAGAACTCAGCCCTGGCATGATATCCCTGCTGCTTTTATTGAGCAGAAGTTGCTGTCTCCTCCTTCCTTTTCCACAGTTCATCTTTTTGTATTTCTTTCTGGGCTACATTTGATTACCCTAAACTGCAAATCACATCTAGTTGCAGTGTTCCTTAGTGCAGCGTTTGCTGTAGCTCCCAAGTCGCTGTCATCCACAAGTTTTGAAACTCACTTTGTTACATAAAAACTTGATCTAAAAAAAACAAACAGTGAAATAATACCTTCCTTTGTAGTGCCTAAAGCATTCCTGTAAGTTTAAAGCAAGCGAGGTAGTTAGGGCATATTTGTTCAGAGAAGACTCTGATTTCTCATTTCATCAATTTTAAAAGCAAAACATCAATTTATGAGACTTAGAATAAAGCATCGTGACTGGGTTCCGAGAAGGACTTCAGACTGGTTGGTGCCTAGGTTAACAGCACTTTAACTATGACACTTTTAAATAAAATAGGAATTGCTCCCGCTTTTGCCTCTGTATTTTCCTGTTGGGCCGCCGCTCCCTGACAAACCGCTGCTCAGGAATTCCGGGAGACCCCTGGGATGCTGGGGAGCCTTGCGTGGATTTGACATGATGCTGGAGGTAGAGTAAAAAGGGCTTGATGATGGATAGGATGAGTGAGAAAGATAAAAGAAAGGATGACTTCTAGGTAACAAGCGTGAGGACCTAGATAGAAAGTGATGCTATTTAGTGAAATTTAAAAAAAAAAGAAGGGCAAATGAACTGCTTTGGGTTGCACAGAAATATGAAAGGGTGGTCTAGACGACTTGCCGGTAACAGAACACTTTGCACTAGAATTGGAATGAAGATATGAGTTCAAAGAGGAAAAAGGATATAAAATATCCCACTGTTATATGATTCTTGGATTCCTTTAGATACATCTTAAAATGTGATGTATTTTAAAAATGTCCATATTTACAATACACCAGAACTATATCCACTGCAGCTATGTAAACTTATGAAAATATTTGACGACAGCTTTAAAACCTGTGATGAGCTAGTTCTTCAAAATTTTTAGTGTATAATTGAACAAAAAATGTTTGAAGACCACTGCAGAAGAAAATCAAGATAATAGTCAAGCCTGCATAAAGACGATCTGATGTCAAATGGTTGTCTCAGCACGAGCAAAGTAAAAGCTTTTTCCAAAGCCATCTGTTTCTGCAGCAAGCCACACTCTGGTGGGTTTCAGATTCAAGGACATCATATCCTTTAGTTGACTAGCAGAGCTGGTGCCATATATATATATATATATATATATATACATACACATATATATATATATACACATATATATATATATACATATATATATGTTTTTATATAAATATATTTATATATTTTATTTACATATGTAAGTAAAAAGTATGAGACCAGAATGAAGATATATAAGGAGAGAGCAGTATTCAATCTTGTTTCATATATTTTTACACTTCAGACATCTCAGCCTAATTCTTAATCATTTCAATTAGCATCACCAATAAACCCTATGAAACACTAGCTGATATTAAGAAGCCAAAATGCTGTGACTCTGCGGGTTTTACACAGATGTGCACAGCAACGTGATGCCCCTGAGAAGGGCCTTTGTGGAGAACATCTCTTGCCAAGTGAGCTGCAGTATCGAAGTAGGGTTGCCTAACAAGGAAGACAAAAAGCTGTCAGAGCCCAGGATCAGGGGGAAGGTACCAAGTTTACAAATAAATGAAAGATAAATGTGCAGGCTGATTTTAATCCCCCCCAAATATTTAATGAGCGCCTGTTATGAGCTGGAGGACACCATCGTGGGCTAGGAGCAAGACTGAGCTTTTCAAGGCTGACCACATGAGTGTGCATTTTAAAAAACAGGTCTGGGATCCACAGCAACTGTAATCATCAGTCAGAATAAGAACTCACATCAACGTACAGAAAAATACTGTTTTCCCTCCAGAATAAAACTGAAGATACCCCTGGCACCATCATCCTGGGTTATAAAAAGAACAAAGATGGTAAAACATACGTGATTTTGTGTTTATGTATGTAGTGGAGATGAATTTTTTTTTAATTCAAGGGGGGTGCTTTTTTTATTGCAATACAATTGACATATAACGTTATATTAGTTTCAGGTGTTTAACGTAATGATTGGCTATGTGAATATACTGTGAAATATACCCATAATAAGTCTAGTTAACATCCATTACTGCACAGAGTTATGAATTTTTTTCTTGTGATATGAATTTTTAGATCTACTCTCTTAGCAACTTTCAAATATTCAATACAGTATTATTAACTATAGTCACCATGCTATACATTACATCACTGTGACTTACTTATTTTAAAATTGGAAGTTTGTCTCTTTTGACTACCTTCACCCATTTCACCTACCCCAACCCCCTACCTCTGGCAATGATTAATCTGTTCTCAGTATCTATGAGCTTGTTTGTTTGCAGGGGTTAGATTCCACATATACATGAGACCATACACTATTTGTCTTTATCTGTCTAACTTGTCTAACCTAATTTATTTAGCATATTGCCCTCAAGGTCCATCGATGTCACAAATGGCAAGATCTTTTTTCTGACTCAGTAATATTCTATTGTGTATGTGTGTATTTTCTTTATCCATTCATCCATCGATGGACACTTAGGTTGCTTCTACATGTTGGCTATTGTATATAGTGCTGCAATGAACATGTGGGTGCTTTTATCTTTTTGAGTTAGTGTTTTCTTTTCCTTTGGATAAATACCCAGTAGTAGAATTGCTGGCTTATATGGCCATCCTATTTTTAATTTTTTGAAGAAACTCCGTACTGTTTTCCAAAGTATCTATACAAATTTACATTCCTACCAATAATGTACATGGGTTCTCTTTTCTCTACATCCTCACCGAAACTTATTTCTTATTTTTTTTATAATAAACATCCTAACAGATATGAGGTGATCTGTCATTGTGGTTTTGATGTACATTTCCTTGATGATTAGTGGTGTTCAGGACCATTTCATGTACCTGTTGGCCAACTGCATGTCTTCTTTGAGAAAATGTCTATGCAGATCCTCTGCTCATTGTTAACTGAACTGTTTGTTTTTCTGCTATTGAGTTATATTCTTCTTTATTTATTTTAGACATGAATCTCCCAACAGATATATGATTTGTAAATATTTTTTCTCCTTTGATCAGTTGCCTTTTCATTTGGTTCATGGTTTCCTTTGCTGTGCCAAAGCTTTTTAGCTTGATATAGTCCCACTTGTTTATTTTTTACTTTTGTTGCCTTTGCTTTTGGTGTCAAATCCAAAAATCATTGCCAAGACCAATGTCAAGGAACTTATCACTTATGTTTTCTTTTAGTTTTACAGTTTCAGATCTTATATTGAAGTCTTCAATCCATTTTGAGTTCGTTTTTGTGTGTGGTGTAAGGCAGTGGTCTAGCTTCATTCTTTTGCATGTGGCTGTCCAGTTTTCCCAACACCATTTATTGAAGTGATTATCCTTTCCCTATTATATATCTTTGGCTCCTCTGTCGTAAATTAATTGACAATATATGCAT